CAGTGGTTGAAGTGAAGAAAAATTGGCTGCTTGTCTCTATTTTGCAGAGTACTAAATAATGCATCAGAATGCACCACTCAAAGGACTCAAAGTTTCAGCTCTGAAACACAAAAGTACAAGAGCCTGTAACTTCTGCTGCGTTTGAAACTTTCCCACTATGCACAACTGATAGTGAAGTTATCTGTTGTCTGGTGTTCAAAGGCAATAGTGAAGTCAATAAACACCACCACCTCCTACCATTAAGCACATCATGGGGAAACCCTTTTCTAAGGAAGAAGGCAACTGGCGTTATTTTAAAGTAAAAAATAATCATCATAATTCCAAATTAAAGCTGAATAACCAGGGAGGAACACACACAAAAAGTTTTGGAGATGCTCTACTTTCCATGCTAAGGTTTTGGATCCCACTCACCAAACGTTGTTTTATCAAGGGCTAAGAGTTCTTGATGGTCTCTCTCACCCCCTTTCTCAGAAGCACAGGAATTAATTCAGTCAAAATTGTTTTGCATTTCCAGCAAGGCAGAGAACCATGCAAACAGTGTGAGTGAATTGCTACTTAACCTACTAACAAATGCAGCCAATAACAGACTGGGATACTAAACTGGAGACTGGCAAATTACACTATTTTTTCCAGTGCCAAGTCATGTTCCAAAGCAGACTGGAGCTGGTGCTTCTTTCAGCTCAAGATCTTTTTTATAGGATTTTTTTTTTTCAATTTGTTAATGCCATGCATTATTGCCAGGCGCAAATTTTGCGGATCCGTACCTAAAATTGTGTCCCTGTCAACTCAGTGTTTTCCAGTCCAAGCACAGTCACTAGTCTTATTTTATACTCCACGGGCTGCGAACAATTCTGTGTCTAAAAGATAGAGATTTATTATATTTTAGTCTATGGCAGCTGATAATGCTGCCTCTTCACTTAGCTCCAAATATACTCTAAATCATTACAATATGATCAACCACGCCAGAGTTAAAAATGCATTTATATTTCCAGGATCAATTGTAACTGAAAAGAATAGTAATTGTTTTAATAATGTCATCTAGAAATTTCAATACTTAGTCGGGAACAAAATTTTACAAAGTGCCTTTTGTCCATTTCCCCATCCCCCTGTTTGCACTGTCAGACTGTTGTGAGGCATCTGTAAAAATTATCTGCAATCTCTCTATTTCCATAATACAGGTCATCACCCATCAGTTCTCTTCCTGACCTGCAGAAACAAAAGCAAACACCTCTCCCTGCCCCACACCAACGTGAGTTTTTGCCACCTCAAGCAAATGCAGGTGTGATAAAGCTTTCAGCAGAGTTGCAGTGAGCGATATTTCCAAGTGCCATTTGATGGAGAGTCTGATCCTGGTTGGTTACAGCCCAACATCATCTGAAATAGAGGTTTAGTACCGTGGCATATTTTTAACTTCCTGACATGTGCAGCATAGTCTGCTGTTGAGGAATTTTCCTCTCGCTGAAGTGATGAGCAGCCAAGGCAACGTTCACGCTGCTGCACGCTCTGCTCAGTGGGAGGTAATGCAGAATCAGTGCAGCAGCAAATATTATATTAACAGTGGGATGCTCCTTTTCCCCTCCCTCCCCCCCCCCATCTTGGTTTCAGAGTTGGGAAGCGATAACATACAGGACAGACTACATTCTTCTTCAAGCAAAAGGAATGAAGAGAATTCATTTGGTAAGTGACCGCCAGGAAAATAGAATTTACTAAAAACGCAGTGTTCTGATGGTAAATAACTGAGGTCCATATTCAGCACGGTGCTGAGCAGCTGCAGCCAGTGACAGAACCTCCGAGATCACCACAGGACCAAATTCATCTCTCAGATACACTGAGGTCACCGAGAGTCCTCTCAATTTAGAGCTGGTGTTTCTCTAGCTCTGTAGAGATACCAATGCATCAGTTCATTGATGCTGCACTTACTACAATCTGCTGATAAAGTATGATTATATTTAGCATCAGAGACAACCAAAAGTGGACATAATAAACACAGTAAATTAATATCCCCAATCAGAATAGCTGCGAGTTTAAAGCTTCTGTTTCTCTGAATATACTTGATAAAATAACGTTGCAAAGTGCATACACATTTTCATCACCGAAACCATATGAATTAAGTCCTGCAAAACCAGATTATGTATGCATGGGAATTTAATTACTCAAGATATCTTCAAAGATTTTAATGTGTGATATTTCTTCATTTTTGAACAAAAATATTTCTCACCACATACCTGTGTGTCTGTATCTAACGTAGATTCTCTGTGACTCTAAAGACTGAATGCCAGAAACAACACAGAGGAAAAGTAAATACTCTAAAGCATATAGAGCTCTAGACTTCACAGCAAAATCATCCTTATTTTCATAAATGTTGGACTCCAGCCCCTTAAGAGGCAAGCCCAAACTCCAACTTACCTAGGCAGCATCAGGAGGATATTACAGTTTGTGCAGCATTAGTTGTGTGAAAAAACAATCCCTTTTACCCATTTTATGAACTGATTCTCTTTTA